GTCTCTGCACACAGTGATGCACGGGGTCGAAGTTTATTTATTATTCCTACCTGGAGATTACGAGGGAGTCCTATCGGTTGTAAACAGTGATGACTAAATGCATCGTCTAGGCGGGAATTGTTTTGAGAGTCAGAACAATGGGAAGAAACGTGACATCAACACCTGTGAATATTTCTCTTTCTTTTTTTTTCGCTCTCGGTTATTTACTTTCTTCTTTTTCGGGGGAGACTCGGGTATCGGGTTTCAGGCGAATGTCGACGAGGATGTAATTCGATTCCTATTTAACCGAGGTTTAACCCTCCACAATGTTGTAATGTTTCTATGTATCTAATAGACTTTCAATTTTTACGGCTACAGAAGTGGAACGACAGGAAATTTAATTTTTTTTTGCAATTAGAAATCATCGAAATTATTTTTTTTCAATTTCTTTATTTTTTTTTTCTTTGAAAATTTATGAATAATAAATTTTTTCATTAGGAATTTCCTTTTTTTATGAAATTGTGGAAATTTTTTGAATATTGACTATTTTTTATGCTTTTGGAAAAATGGGAATCATTGAAAATTGAAATTTTTCAATTATTTTGTCAATTAAAAACAATTTGGGATTTTAATTGTTTTTTACTGTCAATAATTTTAAAAAAATTTTGTTTTTTTCAGTTCATAAATAATCTGTGATTTATTTGGTTTTCTCACTTCACAAATTAATCTTTGAAATTCCTCAAAAATATTTTTTTTCGTTTCAAAAAATTTATTTTGGAAAAATTGTTAAATGTTGACAATTTTTTCATGTCTTTGGGTTTAAAATTCATGTTTTGTAAATTATTAATTTAAAAACGTGATCTTTAAAAATTTCACCATCCCATTTTTAATAATTTTTTAAATAAATAAATGACCTCATTTTTATTTTACTTATAAAAAATGTTTCCGAACAGTTCAAAATGACGAATCCGTTTTGGGTTTTTATCGTAGTGTTTGTTTACGGCTCGCGGTAATCAGACACGCGAAAATGAGCTTGATTGTAATTATCAATCACACGGAACAATAATAATTACTCGACCGAAAATCATCTGGTCGTTTTTATCCAATTGTTTGTTTTCACAGCCGACAAAAGTTATTTCGTATTTTTTCAGTGTTTCATTTCGGCTTGTCGGGGCTTAATTAAGACCGAGTGTTGAAGATGATTTGCCTGACACGCAATTACGTATTTTCTCGCTCGCTGCAGTGTTTCGCAATTTTTAATTGTTTATTTTGGATTTATCGGTTGATTCAATATTTATATTTGCGAACAACTGAGCTACTGCTTTTTTATTTGAATTACCCAGTATTCCTCATGAAATTGTAACGCTAATCTCGATTAATTAATTATAAAATAATTTTAATTGAAACAATTCAAACAAAATAGGCAAAATTAAAATAGTAAAAAAACAAATTCATGATCTTTCAATAATGAATATCTTCTGACCCAACGATACAATTCAAATAAATCAGAGTTCATTCCAAACTCCGCAAAAAAACCTTCAAAATGAAAAAAAAATCATCAAATTTCACTCAGCCAATCTCGATTTATCAACAATCGAAATCGATCCCTCCTCACCCCCTCACCTTGACTTGAGTAGATTCGAGCCTCAGTTTTTCGGGAATACCTCGTAATCTACGGCAGATACGAAAAATTTTATCAGATACTTTTTTGAAGATCTCGAAATCCCCTACAAAAATGCTCTTCATGAAATTTTCGGTATCTCCCATAGATTCCGAGATATTCCCAAAAAACTAGAGCAACCGATTCCACAGCTGAAAATGCAAACCGAGGAAAAACCCTAAAGACGTGATCACACGGAATAGTCCATTCTCTCGAATGATAAAATGCATTTCGTTTCAAAATGAAGGCACAGTGATGTCAGCCCCCGTCTTTGGCTGTCGGATTTCGCGGTATTTACAATGTTCGTTATCGCGTGCGGTAACTCCCGGGGAAAAACTAACTCGTCTGTTTTTACGTTATTATTTTATCCATATCAACAACAACACTCGATAAAATAATCAACCTAACGAGACGGAGGAATATATAACAAAGTTATTCGCCACTGAAATGAGAGAAAACACGCGCTCGTCGTTTGAATTTTTAAATTTGTTGATTTTTCAATTAAATTCATATCGATTTGTTGTTTTAATTTATTCACTCCTTCATTCATTTGATTGGCATGTATACTTGTGGTTTATATATGACACGAGTGTGTGCGGCTCTCGCGTTTTAATGGCCGCCGCGCCCCCGCGTGATGCCCTAGCGTCGCGCCAAGGCTCAACGACCTCAAACCATTCGTTCCTCTGTAGTTTTAAATCGTTTTCTCTGTGGTTTGCGCGCGTCTCGATGACGTTATTAGGCTCCCGCGTACCAACAATGAAGTATCAACGCCATCTTGATGAATTTTCGACCACGTGGACCCCATTAAAAATAAAGTTTTTTCATTTTCACTTTCATTTTCAAAAAGTTTTTTTCTAATCGATCAGTTTTCCGTGAATATCTCGGAATCTACGACAGATAGCAGAATTTTTGTTATAACATTTTTTGTAGAGCGAGTGGAGAGCTACGAAAAAGGTAATAACGAAAATTTCGCTATCTCCCTTAGATTCGGAGATATTCCCCAAAAACTCAGCTGAGAGTGCTGATTTTATTTTCAATGTTTTTTTTCAGAGTTCCACTTTGAATTTCCTTTTTCAATAATTTATTCTTCAATAAATAAACGAGATAACGAGAATGAATTTTGGCACGTGGACAAGCGCATATGATTCAGCCCGACACCCCGGGGTGCCGTCCGCAGGGGAAAATACTCTTGAATCACCTCTCCCATTGTCCGCGAACATTCTTTGAATAGCTTATCACAGCGGCAAGACAAATGTCATTGATAATCTTCATGGAGGATGTGAAATACAACAAACGGTTGTTTGTTCGGAACAATGGCATTCTGTTGCTGATAAAATGATTGAGTTCATTCTGGGAAATTGTTAATGGAGCTTCGGTTGAGGTGACCGAGGTCGATCGAATTTCACGTTATTTTGTCATCTCTGTTGCATTTTCCTCTGATTTTTTTTATATTTTAATCATTTTCGTGATTTTGAGCACTGGAATGCAACATTTTCTCATATTTCCAACGATTATTGATTATATTAAACGGTTAATCAGGACGAAATTGCGTTAAAATCTTCGTTTTAATACTCCGTTTCCTGAAAATAAAGAAATCAGCGCCAAAATCGCGTGGATTCACTCGTGGAACTACTGCGCAGTTTTCTGCGCATGACGCGCATGCGCAGCGCCCCAAGTGATTTAAAGTGAAGGAATGAAGGTCTAAAAGAGGCTCTGCATTCCTCATATTGTATGCTACGAGCCAAAAGATCATTGAAGCATATTTCCCATCATCTGCATCAATAAAAACATTTAAACAATCGATTGTGACGAAATTGATACAATGGATACTCTTGAAATAGCTGTATCTCTCTGTTTTCATTGAACTGAAACTAGCAGAGGTCATGGTTTCGACCTGTTATTCTCTTATCGTCAGTTCAAAGATTGAATCGAATCGTTATGTTCAGTTCTATCGTCCATGAACAAATGCACCCCCTCACGGATTTTCCCGGCCGTTAATCACCCCCAGGCTTTTACCGTCATTTAAATCTTCTCCCCCAAGTTGACAATAGCTACAGCACCCCCTCACCTCTGTCCCTGCACGTAAAAGTCATTGTGAACGCATGAGGGGGGCCCCCTCGTCCACCTTTTTCCCCTATGGTGCCATGTGCCGCGTCGGAGCAGAGTCACCCCGGTGGAGTCGACCTGGCGCGTGCCGAACGACCCAACAATGCACGGAGATTCGCATTAGACGTGTGTCAACTACTACCCCCCCCCTCTCCCCGCCCCCTCCGGAATACCCGTGAAAAATATTCCGAGAGTCTCTGGGGTCACCCTCCACCACCGGTCGCAGACGATGGGAACCAGGCGATGGGATGCTCTTGGGGATTTTTTTTGAGGGGGGGGGGAGGGGGAGGGGGACGACTGGGAATGGCCATAGGCGATTTTTTTAGGGAGGGGGGAGGGGGGTGGTGGTGATAGAGGTGTTTTTGTTGGGGATTTCGGGGAGATTGGGGTTTTTTGGGGGGAGAATGGGGCAAAATGGGACGGGGGGGGGATGGGACAGTTGCGAATTTTGATTTTTGAGGGTGAAACGGGAGAGGTGAAGGGGCTGATCAGTCGAATTGTTTTTCCTTTTTTGACCCTCGTGACCCTCAGGAACATTTGACCCTTCATAATTTTTTCAGTAATAGAGGTTTTGTGAAATTTTTATGGAGATGAACGTGTTTTCATTGTTAACCTCAAAGAGATTAAGATTTTTGGGGAGAATGAGGCAAAATGGGACGGAAGGGTAAAGTGGGACAGTTGCAAATTTTATGTTCTAGAGGCCAAACATTCTTAGGGTCAAATAGGAGAGTCGAGCGAAGTGATCACTCCACCCGTATCGTTAGACCCTCGTGACCCTGAATAACATTAGAACCTCCATAACAAAAAAATGCATTGATTTCGCTGCCTTAATATTTAAAAAAACAATGTTGACTAAAAAAAATCACTTTCATCGAGTGAATTATTTTTTTCTCTCTTCATATTTTCAATTAATCGTATCTTTTTAAGGATTCAAGACTTTCAAAAGGAGAATTATTTATTTATTTATTCATCTCTTTGGTGTTGCAAACGTTTTCTTTGTTTTACACCAATGTAGGCCTCTTCCTCTCCTCAATAATTATTAGATAACAGCAATTATATAAGATTTCTTGTAAATTCATATTTTCATTTAACTCTGCTTTAAATTAGTTAGATCGAATATTAATTAGATCGAATTTAATTAGATCGAATATCAAAATGGACAATTGTAAAAAACAAATGGAAAATTGTTTTTTCTCTCTACTCCGATAGTTCGCTCAATACACAACATGATGAATTTTTCTTCTCAATGTGTCAGGGTGCAGTGAGGACGAAACCAGCGCAGAAGTAGCTGAGGTGGGCGGTTGCGCGTCAGGTGGGGCGAGTACCGGTGAGGGTGGTTCAGCCAAACAGGACGAGCGTTGCCCACAGTGCGGCATACTTTGCCGTAATATCCACGTTCTTCAGCTCCATCTTGAGGACGCCCACAAATCCTCATTCGTTATTGATAAACACGACTTAGGTGCTCAATTTTCCCAAGTTGTAAGTGAAATATTCTTCATTCATTATTTTTACAACATGATTAATCCATCCAAAAACCAAAAGGATAAATTTATTTATTTTTTTGTTCCATAACTAATTTTTTAAACTGTTTTATATTTTTTAATGTTTTTTTTTTTAATTTCAGTCTTGCAAAGTCTGCAGTAAAACTTTTGCCAACGTTTACCGATTACAAAGGCATATGATTAGCCATGATGAGAGCGCTGTTTTGCGCAAATTCAAGTGCCCGCACTGTGAGAAAGCGTTCAAATTCAAGCATCATTTAAAGGTGAATATTCATTGATAAATAATAATGACAAATCGTTTAATTAAAACCACGACATTTTTCGTCATTCGTAATTTTTGAATTATCTCGTAAACGAGTGGTTTTAGGAGGAAATGTCATTCAACCTTTTTTGTAGCTGACACAATTCTCTATAAAAAATATCTTGTGACATTTTCTCCTAAATCCACTATTTTCAAAGATAATTCAACTTTTAGAAACATTTATGAAATATTTCTACAGATTTTTCAATATTTTCTTCACTTCGAAGTATTAAAGCCTGAAAAAACCTCTTTAGGGAATTAAAAAATGTTTTTGAAAATTTTTTTGAACAAAATTTTTGACATTTCATAAAATATTTTTCAATGCTTTAAACATACTTTCGACATCAATGCATCAAAACACCTCCAGAAAAGCCCAAAAAAAAATTTTTTCAATCCAGAAAACACTTTTTTCATATAGAATTGAATAAACGAAAAAAAATATCCTATGGAATTCTCCCCTCTCTTCCCCACCATAATTAAACCTTAAACCCCTTCAAATAAAATTTCTCAATACCTTGAAGTCACCAACACGTGTCCAGAAGCCTCAAAAAAATTTTCCAATTCCAGGAACACCTTCGAATCCACAGTGGGGAGAAGCCCTTCCAATGCAACAACTGTGGAAAACGTTTCTCCCACTCGGGCTCGTACTCCAGCCACATGACATCGAAAAAGTGCCTAATAGTGAACCTCAAGAAATCCCGGAGTCAGCCAGTGCACCCGGACCGCCCGAAGAAGTCGTCCCCGCAGCAGCCCCCACTCCCACGTGTCCGAGAGGACCTGCACCCCCAGAACAACAACACCTTCCTGCCAATTCTCCCGAAGCTCTCGCCCTCTGACTACCAAGACCTCCAGAGGGACAACCCCAGCATCTACGACATGCCGACCCTCCTCCCCCAGATGATGGGGCTGGGGAACTACTTCCTCCAGTCGTCGATAGGAAAACTCCTGAATCAACTCCACCACAAACGTCTCGACGAGATGACAGAGCAGTTTGAGTCGCACAGGGAGACCCAGAGCCCCTCGACAGGGGACTCTGAGGAGGCGGAGGTCGAGGACAAGTACTCACCGACTCCCAGTGATCCTCAGGGGCTCGACGCCGTCCGAAGAATTCTGGAGACTGTCAACACCTCTGTCACTAAGCAGTTGCTCGAGGCGAATGTCAGGAAATTGTCGACATCACCGAAGCCCATTAGGGAGGTGATGGATCACGATCAGGACTCGGAGATGTCGGGGGAGACCTCCAACTGGCAGGACTGGCAGTCTGGGGATCAGTATGACTCGCAGAGTGAAGGGTTTGTTATTATTTATGTAATTGGTTTAGTCATTTATTCGATTGCATGATGTGGTGCCATTTTTAACGTCAAAACCTCTTAAAAACTATTGAATATTCCATTAAAAAATAATGAATAAACTAAATTTAACAAAAAATTGAAATAATAGTAAAGTAATAGATTGTGATTTCAATTTTTTCATTCTGAATTAAAACTCATTTCCATTATTGTTGAACATGCAAAATTATGTCAGTGAATGTCAGAATGAAGAACAACAACTCTGGGAAGTCTGAGTTGAACAGAAATGAAATAAATTGTTGAATAAATAATGAAGCAATACTAATCATGATGGAATAATATCTGAATGTCATTATCATTGCAGACTAGCAGACTGCATGATGTGGTGCCATTTTTAACGTCAAAACCTCTTAAAAACTATTGAATATTCCATTAAAAAATAATGAATAAACTAAATTTAACAAAAAATTGAAATAATAGTAAAGTAATAGATTGTGATTTCAATTTTTTCATTCTGAATTAAAACTCATTTCCATTATTGTTGAACATGCAAAATTATGTCAGTGAATGTCAGAATGAAGAACAACAACTCTGGGAAGTCTGAGTTGAACAGAAATGAAATAAATTGTTGAATAAATAATGAAGCAATACTAATCATGATGGAATAATATCTGAATGTCATTATCATTGCAGACTAGCAGATTGCATGATGTGGTGCCATTTTTAACGTCAAAACCTCTTAAAAACTATTGAATATTCCATTAAAAAATAATGAATAAACTAAATTTAACAAAAAATTGAAATAATAGTAAAGTAATAGATTGTGATTTCAATTTTTTCATTCTGAATTAAAACTCATTTCCATTATTGTTGAACATGCAAAATTATGTCAGTGAATGTCAGAATGAAGAACAACAACTCTGGGAAGTCTGAGTTGAACAGAAATGAAATAAATTGTTGAATAAATAATGAAGCAATACTAATCATGATGGAATAATATCTGAATGTCATTATCATTGCAGACTAGCTGCCAAACTTGAGGATGCGAGTCAGTCGAGTGCTGGGAAGAGCAGACCTGGCAAGAGAAAGGCTGAAGACATCCCTGAGAGCTCGATCGAGGCTGATTCTGATGACGAGGACGAGGTGAGGGCACCTGGGGACAGTGGGAGGAGGGTCAGAGCCAGATCCCTCATCGACGAGGAGCAACTGGCTGTCCTCAAGGGCTACTACCAGATCAATCCACGTCCCAAGAAGGAGGAGATCGTCATGATTGCGAATTACATAAATTTCCCCACTCGAGTCGTTCAGGTCTGGTTTCAGAACTCGAGGGCTAGGGATCGCAGGGAGTCCAGGATTCCTGCCTTGCTTCCTTTATCCAGCATTGGCAATCATGCTGGCTTCGAACAGCCCTTGGATCTCTCCAAGAAGGAGGCGGTCGTCGTGGAGAAGGAGAACGACGTCTTGAGGGGCACTGCTGTACCTGGGGACAAGGAGAGCAATGGGGGGGTCTTGGGGAATGGTGAGGATGCTGAGGAGGCACCACTTGTTATTGATGAGGAGACTGTTGACTCGGGGGATATTAAGAAGGAGGCGTGTGCTGGCGCGGAGGTTATTGTGAAGGTGAGTTGGCTTCAGATAAAAAAAATTTTTTTATTGAAAAATACTTTTTTTTTTCTGTTATAAAATGGATTTTGGATTTTTTTAAAACCATCAAAATTCTCATTTTTTATTAGAAATTTTTTTTATTAAAAGTTGTTGAATTTAATTTTAAAAATCACATTTTGCAAAATTATTAAATAAATTTTCAGATTAAAAATTCGATTTTTAGATTCAAAATCCACTTTCTTGTTAAAAAATAATTATGGAACAATTCAATTTGAGGGAATTTGTGTTTAGATGGAAAACCTAATTTTTTTTAATGAAAAAATTACTGATTTCATTATGAAATTATTTTTGTCAATTACAAAATTGATTTTGTGATTGAAAAAATTATAATTTCATTACAAATTTAATTTTTCAATAGAAAACAATGAATTTTTGGATTAAAAGTTCACTTTTTTGTGAAAAAAATGTTTTCGTAATGGAATAATTGAATTGATGAATGGGTTTTAATAATTTTGATGTCGTTTTTTACAGCAAAGTCCATCCAGAGGTCATGGAAAGACTGAGCGCGAGAGGCCAGCATCGACAGAAGTACCAACAGTGACGGAGAATGAGCAGGAGGGGGTTTATGTTTGTGATCAGTGCGACAAGACGTTCTCGAAGCACAGCTCATTAGCCAGACACAAGTATGAACATTCCGGTGAGTTATTCAGTGCCTCAAGGGTCTTTATTCAAGTGACATTGCAGTCGTAAAGTGAATATTATTAGATCCTCCAGTAATTCAGTCGTGAATTCCTCAATTCCTGTCTCTAATTCTGGACAATTATCTTTAAAAACAGTTTGAGAAAAGTTTTGAGAAAGTCTTTTGACATTTTTTTGTGGACTAACTCGTTTGATAATTTTATTGTTGAGAATAAATAGAAATTTTTTTAAAATTCACTTTCACATTTACAATTAATTAAAATCAACTTTTAATGAATGATTTTTAAGGGAAATATCAATGAAATAAAAAAACGAACTAGAAAACTCGAATTTTTCAAATCAAATTTTATATTTCATCAGTTGATTGTTAATTCATCTGAGAAATTAGTAATTCAGAAGGAAAATGCCTTGACTTTCTCATAATAATTCAATTTTCTACAAAAATTTTACATTTTATTCAATCAAAAATTTAATTTCGTTAATTCTCAAAAATTAACGCTCATATTTCAATTTTCAATTATTTATTCACCTAAAAATTCGGTAGTTTTATAGAAAAATGTCTAGAAACATTAATGTTAATGTAATTAACAGAATATAAAATTTATATTCTATTTTTTTGTTAAAATTAACAGAATGTAAAATTTATATTCTGTTAATTATCCTCAATTAACACAACATAAAATCTCCTTCTGTTAAATTCTTTCAAATTCAGTTAAATCAAAATCATTAAATGAAAAAAATTAACAATTAACAGGACAACGACCATACAAATGTGAACAATGTAATTAATATTAATTGCATTAATGCAAATAGAATTAACAGAATATAAAATTGATATTCTGTTATTTTTCCTCAATTAACACAACATAAAATCTCCTTCTGTTAAATTCTTTCAAATTCAGTTAAATCAAAATCATTAAATGAAAAAAATTAACAATTAACAGGACAACGACCATACAAATGTGAGCAATGTACTTAAATTAATTGCATTAATGCAAATAGAATTAACAGAATGTAAAAATGATATTCTGTTATTTTTCCTCAATTAACACAACATAAAATCTCCTTCTGTTAAATTCTTTCAAATTCAGTTAAATCAAAATCATTAAATGAAAAAAATTAACAATTAACAGGACAACGACCATACAAATGTGAACAATGTAATTAAATTAATTGCATTAATGCAAATAGAATTAACAGAATATAAAATTGATATTCTGTTATTTTTCCTCAATTAACACAACATAAAATCTCCTTCTGTTAAATTCTTTCAAATTCAGTTAAATCAAAATCATTAAATGAAAAAAATTAACAATTAACAGGACAACGACCATACAAATGTGAACAATGTAATTAAATTAATTGCATTAATGCAAATAGAATTAACAGAATATAAAATTGATATTCTGTTATTTTTCCTCAATTAACACAACATAAAATCTCCTTCTGTTAAATTCTTTCAAATTCAGTTAAATCAAAATCATTAAATGAAAAAAATTAACAATTAACAGGACAACGACCATACAAATGTGAACAATGTAATTAAATTAATTGCATTAATGCAAATAGAATTAACAGAATATAAAATTGATATTCTGTTATTTTTCCTCAATTAACACAACATAAAATCTCCTTCTGTTAAATTCTTTCAAATTCAGTTAAATCAAAATCATTAAATGAAAAAAATTAACAATTAACAGGACAACGACCATACAAATGTGAACAATGTAATTAAATTAATTGCATTAATGCAAATAGAATTAACAGAATATAAAATTGATATTCTGTTATTTTTCCTCAATTAACACAACATAAAATCTCCTTCTGTTAAATTCTTTCAAATTCAGTTAAATCAAAATCATTAAATGAAAAAAATTAACAATTAACAGGACAACGACCATACAAATGTGAACAATGTAATTAAATTAATTGCATTAATGCAAATAGAATTAACAGAATATAAAATTGATATTCTGTTATTTTTCCTCAATTAACACAACATAAAATCTCCTTCTGTTAAATTCTTTCAAATTCAGTTAAATCAAAATCATTAAATGAAAAAAATTAACAATTAACAGGACAACGACCATACAAATGTGAACAATGTAATTAAATTAATTGCATTAATGCAAATAGAATTAACAGAATATAAAATTGATATTCTGTTATTTTTCCTCAATTAACACAACATAAAATCTCCTTCTGTTAAATTCTTTCAAATTCAGTTAAATCAAAATCATTAAATGAAAAAAATTAACAATTAACAGGACAACGACCATACAAATGTGAAGAATGTCCCCGGGCGTTCAAGCACAAGCACCACCTGACCGAGCACAAGCGTCTCCACACAGGCGAAAAGCCCTTCCAGTGCTCAAAGTGCCTAAAACGTTTCTCCCACTCTGGTTCATACAGCCAGCACATGAACCACCGTTACTCCTACTGCAAGCCCTACAGAGAATAAAAAAGCCCCATCTCCACCGTCGACCAAGTGCTCAGCCCCAGCTCCAAGTAAGTATAACCCGCCAAAAGCCATTCCCCTCGACGTCAAGTGAAGGGGGAAGGCAGAATGCGCGAAAGAAAAACAAAAATCAGGATATTAACGAGACATCACATACAACGATAGCACCCGCACTCTTTTGAGTGCTCACTCGACCGTTCGAGTGAAGGAGAAAAAAAAAAACCATTGAACAATAATTGAAAGGCCTCAATACGAGTTAACAAAGAAATAAAATAAAACTAAAGCAAAATAAGATATTAAAATTTATAACAAGAACACGTAACGGTACCAAAAATACATAATGCAATAATCTATTATATAAAGTATATAATATACATAATATTTTATTATTTTTATTAAAAAAAAATTATATATACCATGACAATAAGATGAAAAATGGAACTAATTAATGTACAAATTTGTTAGCCACGTTCACTTTGGGATGTGAGATTAATTATTCAAGGATTCAACATCTGATAAATAAATTTGCTTGTCAATGGACTAAGAGTAAAGATTAATAACTAATTAAGAGGCAGAGCTGAATTGTCCAGTGGCTTCGGAGCTAGCTGAAAAAAATATAATAAATCAAACAGAACGAATTCAGATAACAATATTTCCATGACATTTAATTGTTTAATTGACACATTCCTCACAGCAGACAATTAATTTCATAATTTATTGTGAAAAATTATTGAACGCAAGACTATCGAGCTTCAGCGAGCATTTTCAGATGAAAAACCAAATGATGATTGCATAAAACATAATTAAGGGCGTAATTACTATGATTAATTACTGAGAGGGGGGGAGGGGGATTTGGTGAAAGGATTTTGCGAGGTTTTAACTAGTTTATTGCTGATGATTAATCATTTACGTACTTACGAGAGATACTCGTTACAATTCACTCATTTCTCATTCATTATTAATTTTAAAGTACATTCCGTGGAGTTTCTTTCGTGCAATTTTATTTTTTTAATTCAATTAGTTATTAATTAACTAAATTTTATGAATTATCTCGCAATCATTCACCGATCTCCGTGAAAATAATGACGATTGAAAGGCCATTTGTAATGTATGAAAGGAGAATTTAAGGTATGATATTAAATGCTTCCATTTCTTGTACTATTACAAATTATTGATTGAAGAGCAAAGAGGAATTTATGTAATTTAATCAGTTCCTGGACGTTACAAGGGGGAGAGATAACTAAATATATTTAATATCGTCCAGTCCACGATTGATTAAATCTACGAGTGAAGATTATTATTACGAATAATACTCGAGAATGTATTTTATAACAATTTATTCGTCTCTTTTTTCATTTAAAATGAACGATGAAATTATTATGATAACGTACAGCAAGTGATAAATGATTTTATTAAACGACATTGAACGAGTGCTGAATTTAATATGAGGATTATTGAATTGTCATTGATAATTAGTATTTAATAGTGCTGATATATTGTACTTCCTCATTTCGTAGAAGCTTCGGTTATCCGCGACAGGCATCGTGTTCATGTACGCTACCTATAATTAATGAAAAAATAAGCAACATTTATGATGCTTGGAATACTCTCTATTATAGTGTTAACACTTAAGAAATATATTTTTATATAATTATAATATAATATTATATACCGGTAGTAGGCAGGATTGGATAATGAGGTCGTCGTTGGATATTACAGCTGAAAAATAATGTTTTTTTCGTTCTGAGGAGCCGAAAATTCTGGGAATCACTCGCATTTTCAATCGGTGATTTGTTTTATGGATTTTAAATTCATGACTTAAACGTTCGATCAATTGTAGTGAATAACAAATCCCTTGGTTTCAACAGTGAAATTATTAAAGACAATAATGCAGAAAAATGAACTTTAATTAATTGAAAGAAGTGTTAAATACGCGAATGTTCAAGGAAGATAAAATAATGATGGATAGAGGGAAAATGAAAACAGAATTTTTACGAATTGTTGAAGCAACGATAAAAGCACCATACGATGCCTTCCGTGAACGACCGAGCTTGCCTAGTTGCCAAGAATAAAGGAAACGATGCAAATTTTATATGTAATGAAACAGGAGTTATCGTTGAGACAGTATTTTTCAACGAAACTGTTGTACTCAAATTTTTTGGACATTACGCATTAACTGTTGGTTACGCAATTGAGCTTTCCATGATGAGTAATTAATAAGGAAAGATTACCGCGGGATATAGAGTGATTAAGAGGCGTCAGGAATCGATGAGAAGTGTCTGAAGTGGGAGGAAAAGATTGAGTAATGAATTCTCAGTCGAAAAGAGGTTAAAAAAATTTGAAAATTGGCTCAAAAAATTTGTTCACTTCTACAGAAACTGGATTAAGCAAGTTGAGGGCGATCTGAAGAGGATAAATCATTTAAAAGATGTTTGAATATCCCAGGTGAAGGTGCTGCCATCTTGAAAGGCTCTTGGGACGACAAGATGGCGGCGCCAACAGCTATTAACAGCTTCGTATTTAAGAGCTTCGTATTTTCTGAAATTATTCAATCAATTCCTAGGGAAAAAACATTGAGTTATGAATTCTCGGTTAAAAGGGGTTAAAAAAATTTAAAAGATGGCTCAAAAAATTTGTTCACTCCTACAGAAACTGGATTAAGCAAGTTGAGGGCGATCTGAAGAGGATAAATAATTTAAAAGATGTTTGAATATCCGAGGTGAAGGTGCCGCCATCTTGAAAGGCTCTTGGGACGACAAGATGGCGGCGCCAACAGCTATTAACAGCTTCGTATTTAAGAGCTTCGTATTTTCTGAAATTATTCAATCAATTCCTAGGGAAAAAACATTGAGTTATGAATTCTCGGTTAAAAGGGGTTAAAAAAATTTAAAAGATGGCTCAAAAAATTTGTTCACTCCTACAGAAACTGGAATGGGCGAATTGAGGACGATTTGAAAAGGATAAATAATTCAAGAGATGTTTGAAAATCCGAGGTGGAGGCGCCGCCATCTTCAAAGTCCCTTGGGACAACAAGATGGCGGCGCCAACAGCTTCGTATTAAAGAAAATTTCCTGCAATTATTTATTCAATTCTTAGAAGAAACACATGGGAATAAAATGAGAAAAAATCAATACGAATCAAAAAGAAATACGAATGAAAATCGAATGAGAATTGGTGGCACAATTTTCTCCCCTCATTTCAGTATTTCTTACGCCTGAGGCCTCTCAAGTCATATTTGTATATAAAAAATACTGGGAATACGACAGACAATAATCTACCGCTGTTTCACTCTAGATTAAATGAAAAAAACATACTAGACTCGTAGATTTTAACGAAGAACATTAAGTATACACGTAAAAATAAAAAAACTGAGAGTATAAATAGAGAATCGTATATATTATATACATGCGTTAAACGCAGATTTGGGAGTTGATACGAGACGAGTGGAATTACGCTGGTTATTGGATGGAATAAGGATATTTTTTCATCTCCTCGTTCCATTCGATCATTTCTGAACCGAAGATATGCAATGAGCAATGTAAACCAAAGCCAAAAGACAAAGTTGCGTTGAAATATAGAGTAAAAAAATTGAATAATTTAAATGATAACGTATTGTCGACAATTGCTGTTGCAACATTGAATCCCCAGTGACTCGAAATATCGAATAACAATTGAGGAAATAACGAATAATAATAATTGTATTGTGACAACGTTCCATCCATAATTAAATAATGAAAAAACCAGGAAAACGAGAAAAAAAATATTATACAGTTGGGCCGACTATTCCGCCAGTTCGTGCCTTTTTTCTGCAGGGAGAGTGTGGTCTTTTTCGAATTCTGATTCAGTGTATTAGCCACTGTGTGAGTGATTTAATGCAGGAATTTAATATTAAAATGAATTAAGGAATGAAAATTATTATATATGTGTAATCTTAATTCAATGTGAGGCCAATGAGTGAATAAGGATTTTTTCTCAGTTGCATGGGGGGGGGGGGGAAGGAAAAAATTCGATTGAGTATGATTTTTCATCGACCGGTGGAGATGAAGATAATGAATGACGTGATGTGCAAGTAGTTTATTATTTTAAGACGAAATGATGATGATTCTGTTTAGAATAATATTTTTCCATAAATTCAAAACGCGGCTGCATGATTAATGATAAAAAAAACAAATGATAAATTTAACGGTGGGTCTGATTGTCTGTATATTTTTCATTCCATTTGCAAAATGTTTTCAACGCTCATTAGGGCATACCTCAAGATTTTTGGGAATGAGGATATTGTGGATGAGTGCATTAGCCGCATATTGTACATTACATTTAACAGAATGCATTTCTTTTTACTTTGACTTACGTTTTATTTTATGTTGCTCGTTTGTAATTGTGTAATTTACCTTCGTTGGGTTAAACGATATACCTTGGTATATTATTATATTGAACAAAATATTGTCATTCTGTCGAATAAAGATGAATGATTTATAAATGTTTGTTTTTTTAATTCCCAGTTCTCAATTTAAATAGGTTCCAACGTTTGATATTTTTCTGGAAACTTTAGTTTAGTTATAAATAAACTATTGGTTTCTAAACTATCCAAATTGGTGTCCGTGGGTTACCTCTCGCTTTTTGTAAAAACTTTTTTTACAATTTATTGTTGATATTGAAAGTTTAAAAGTTTAAAAATATCATGCGCTATCGCTACTGCGCAACGTGTCTGCGCATATCAATAGGGATGGGCGATGTTGCAAAAAAACGATTATCGAAGAATCGTTGTTTTTTGAATACATCGATGTTGTGAATCGATTTTTCGGGAAAAACATCGATTATTTAAAAAATCAAATTTTTTAAAATAATTTTTCCATCTCGTTTTTATTGGAAATATGTATTGAAAAATACAGACTGAGGAACTTACCTTTCAATGATAAGTACTGATGGAGAGTGAAATTTTGCATCTCGAAACTGGGTAATTGATCAACTGAAAAAAAAAAATTTATTCTCAATCAATTAAAATCATTCGATAAAAAGAAAAAAAAATTGAGCTTGATCAAAAACATCGATGTTTGGAAACGAGAATCGAAAATCGATTAATCGGTCCTCGAAAACATCGAATGAAAAACATCGATGTTTGGGCATGAAAAATCGACGCTTTCGATTAATCGACAATATCAATCATGGCGGCCGTTCTCTGACACTGAACGGAGGCTTTGGCGTTCGTTCCGTCTGTTTTCGGTGAAAAAGGGCATTAAACCGGGGAAATAATTATTAATAATGCAGTAATCAGTTAATATTGAGGGCGAGGAATGATTTTATCAAGAAATCAGACTTTATTATCGCTTATTATGAAGCCTAGACGTCTAAAAAGGGCAATGCCAAATTTCGCCACTGCGCAACTTCTCCGCGCAGATTCATCATGGCGGCCGGCTACTGGCAGAGAATGGGCGGTTTGGCGTTCTTCCGTGGATTTTTGGTGAGAAAAGGCATAAAACCGGGAAAATAAATACTAATCGTGCAATAATCAGTTGATATTGAGGGCGAGGAATGATTTTATCAAGAAATCAGACTTTATTATCGCTTATTATGAAGCCTAGACGTCTAAAAAGGGCAATGCCAAATTTCGCCACTGCGCAACTTCTCCGCGCAGATTCATCATGGCGGCCGGCTACTGGCAGAGAATGGCTGCTTTGGCGTTCGTCCGCGGATTTTCGGTGAGAAAAGGCATAAAACCGGGAAAATGAGTACTAATTGTGCAATAATCAGTTAATATTGAGGGCGAAGAATGATTTTATCAAAAAATCGGACTTTATTACTACATATTATGAAGCCTAAACATCTAAAGAGTGTGAACGCCAAATATCACCAGTGCGCAACTTCTCCGCGCACATCCATCATGGCGGCCAGCCTTTGGCGTTTACACAATGAATTCTAAAGGAAGAAGAGGATAAAACTGGAATGGAACATGGACAATTGAACAATGAGTTGACAATGATGGAGAGTAACGATTTTATGGTGAACTTTGGATTTATTGTGAATAATTACGAGTGCTATAGGACAAAAAAGTCATTTCTATGTGATCGACATATTTGTGACATCGCAAGATGACGCCTGCTGTGTAATTCTGGACAAAGTGACAATGTTTGGTGTTTTAATGAGTCTATTGACTTCCTAAATAATTAAAAATTCAATTCAAAACTGAAATGATTGTGGAATGGAGGACTTAGTGGATTTTATGAGTGCATTTGTGGTTATGAAAAGTGAAAAGTGCTTTCGGGAGTTCCGTTATTGCCGATGTATTGATAAAATACGCGAGATGGGGGCGGTGTGTTGTTAAATCGGTGGCGAGTGTTTTTTTGCTCGGGTAAATATTTGGAGTATTTTATTCAAATTTGAAAAATCGCCAGTGAAGAGTGGAAAAGTGATTGAGAAGAAAGTGAAAACTGGAATTGTGGGAGTTGGAGTGGAGTATATGCCAAGCTGCCGGGTGTTTCAACGACCGGTGAGTCCCTCAAAATATTAATGTCTTTATTCTTTGATTGTTGATGTCGCTGGTTGATAACTTTGAGAGTAGGGGAGAGTAAAATATTAAAACACAGAAGACTCAGATCCGATCAATTAGCCCCTCACGTATAGATATTCCAAATTTTTATTTTTTTCCTCATTGAAGTAGTTTTGAAGAAAATTGCGAGCTAATAAAAAACATTTTCTAGTTAGGACTTTTTTTTTAAATAAATTTTTGAAAAATCACCCCTGAAAAAAAAGGCGTTATCCTCCCTATTTCATTATTTCCAAAAAATTTTATCACCAATCTAAACAAGACAAATGTCTCTAAAGATGATGTCTGTTTACAATTGAAAAGCCAAGTTGTGGCATCATTGTCTAGGAGGACAATGGGGTCTAGGAGTATGTATAGAACATTGGGGTCTAGGAGTCTCCCCTGGTTCAAAACCATCTTTAGAGGTCCTAGCACGCCATT